TGAAACAACATAGCCTGACATAGGACAAAGCTAGAAGCATCTCAGAAATCTCATTTAGAAAACAGCTTAATATGTTTTATTGTGGTTAAGATAATTTTTATTCCTACTGCATCAGGGTTATTTTCTTGCTTGCACCACAGACATCTGGGCTCCCTGTGAAGTTGGCAAACCTGTAGTAGGTGAAAGCGCTTGTCCATTTAGACTTGCAGAGTTCACATGATTAGACCATTTCTCTCGCAGAAGAGAAAATGTTAGTCAATTTCAAAACCCCCAGGACCTGGATTTGCAGACAGTGATATTGTTACCCACTCCTATAAGACATTTCAGCTGTTAGATGTCTGCAATGTACCAGTATCATACAATGAAACACAAATTACACGACAAGGCACAACAGGTTCAGTTTTGAAGAAATATTTCTCTTCACACCTGGAGCCGTCATGTAAATTTAGGGCAGAGACACTGGGAATAGCTGCAATTGAGGAGTTTAACAAGTTCTGACTATGCAGTGTCAGGAGCACAGGAAACCTCATCTGACCTTTCACAAAGGATGAGTTCATTTAACAACTGTGTACAGTATGACGCTAAAAGCAGACAACAACTACATGTTAAAATGAAAGAACTGAGATGCTTTTTAACACAGTGGATCCTTATAAATCTGAGTTAAAAACGGTGAAGACAAAGAAATACAAGAAATTCATTAACCTGTCACCATGAAATGCAGTGTGCCACACACAAAATGTGCAATTCAAAAAAAAATACAAGGTGATATAAACAAGTTTCAAGTCGGTGAACCATTCCACATTTTGCAAGTGCCATTAGAGAAAAGTAATGGATTTTTCATCTATTATTTAAATTTTTACTTCATTGTGTCACTTCTTTTCTTTTCTTCTAAGATCTGAAGTTCCCACTCTGCTCTGGGAAGAACCAAATATTCGTTTATTCAAATTCAATTTTGCATTGATTTATTCAGAGTACTGCACGTTTACATTTTTATGTGAACCCATCTAACTCCAATGACATCACTGAAGCTATACTACCTAACATCAGCTGAAGCTTAACTTCCTTGAGCAGGAAATTCCAATGAATAGAACTCCAGAAGGACAGCTATAACTGTTGAATCTTTTGCTTCTTTCCACATTATAAAAGTTAAAGGGTTATCTTGTTTAGTACTCAATGCACTCTCATCTGCATCTTTTCCTCAATACTCTTTGCACATGGATTTGGATGACTGAAATAACCCCTGCGTGTAGTAACTCCTGTGTTTCACCTTCTCTTAACTCAGACTCCTACACATAAATCCTACATTTTGCAAGATTTCAGTAAACTCAAAGAGCACATTGTCTTCTCCAGTGAGATGAAGGCAGTATTTTCCTGCCTTCTAAAGCTGTTCTGAGAGTAAATATAATAAACAGGTTAAGTTTACAGATAATAAGATATAATGTTATTTAAATGTCTATGCTATAATGCAGAGGTATGAGTAAAGTTCAAAATGTCTTAGTATAGTAATGAATAAATAAAATGAGTACTCCAATAGCATGGCCAAATTCAAGTGATTACAAAAACATTTTCCCATTTGTATGTTGGACCACAGTTGTGCTGTCTGTAGTTACATGCTCTAATTAAAAAGGTTTGTCAGCATAAGGAAAAAATACTGATAGAACATCCAACAAAACATTATTTTTAATTGTAATTGAATAACAATGACAAAGGCTGGGTCTACATCACTGAATTTTTCTGATAGACAATATTATGCCATATTCCCAGGCCAAATGGTAGAGGCTGGCTCGTCTTTTTAGGACCTAAATCTCTCTGTGGTTGACCATTCAGATGGTCATACTGTACAGTTCTTGGCCCAGCTACCTTCAGTGCTCAGCTCTGTGCTATTAAGTGAGCACTGGGGTTTTATCCATGAACTTTTTAATTATTTCACTATGCCTGAAATAGTAGAGCATAGTTATCAGAATTAGGTTTTTGTAGTATCATGTTGATAGTAGGTGTTGTGTGGTCTAGGGTATTTGCCTGAGGGCAGGTTAGGAGTGCAATGTAGCATGATATGATGTATGACAGTATACAAACGACAGTGTAACCTCTGTAAGGTAGACAAAGGCCGATCTGAAATCTGGCTTGTTGCTTGTGAAATCTGATCCTTATTGCTTGTTCAGAGAGATCACTATTGTGTCCCATAAGGAAACTGTTCAGTCTATAGAAGACCCAGCAATAAGGTGCCATGCATGCACTGTTGTTGTGGTTTAACCCCAGTAGGCAGCTGAGCATCATCCAGCTGCTCAGCCACTGCCCCCCTCAGTGGGATGAGAGAAGAATCAGAAGGGCAAAAGTGCAAAAACTCAGGAGGAGATGAAGACAGACTAATAGTTATAAAAGGAGAGGGAAAAGAGAGGAAAGAAGGTGGAGAAGGGGAACAAATCCAAGAAAAACGAGTGATGCAAAAGAAAAAAACTGCTCACCAGATACTTACTGATGCTTAGCCACTTCCTGAAGCAACAGCAGCCCCTGCTAATCTCCCCTCCCCAGTTTTACTGCTAAGCATAGCGTCATATGGTGTGGAATATTCCCTTGGTCAGCTGGGGTCAGTTGTCCTGGTTGTGTGCCCTCCCAGCTTCTGATGCACCCCTAGCCTGCTCACTGGTGAGTCAGACTGAATAACAGAAAAGGTGTACAAGCACTGCTCAGCAACAGCTAAGACATCCCTGGGTTATCAACACTGTTTTCTTTACAAATTGAAATCATAACAAAAAATATAAACTACTTTGAAGAAAATCAACACTATCCAGCACCAAAACTAGTATAACTGTGAAAAGTCAGAGTGTCAGGACCCATTCATGTCTCTTTCTGGTCTTGTATATGAACACAAGAGAAATGCAAAAGTTAGGACACAAAATAAGATTCTTGGATACTTCATGTCCTCCTTAAATCTAAATGTACTGTACATTCTTCCTTAATTTATCTGTTTAAATATCTGATTTTGGGAGTAAATTGTAAAGATATTTTTTGTAGCAAAAGTGACATAAAATGATCTTTAAAGAAAAAAATAAATTTTAAAAATCAAAAATTTCTGTTTTCATGTATATTAGTAGTTGAGTATTTAAATATTTAACAGTGCATAATATGTAGTACTTATAATTTGAAATGATAATCAATCTACGTAAGGTATTTTAATAGGCAGGTAGTTATAATGGCTCATTTCTCTTCAAAGGCAATGAAAATATAGTCATCACAATGAAGACAGTATAAAGATGTGAAATAATTTTACCTCCTGCTCTGTTGTCCATTTATTTCAAGAAAGTCATAGAAATAACATAAAAAGTGTTAGCTTTGTATCACAAATATGTGCTATGTTAATATATTGATTTTATTCCAGAGTGCTTAAATCTTGACTTGCACAGGCTACACCAATTCACACAAATGTAAAGCTCACTTCCCACAGTTGTCAGCAAAAATTGGATATGCCTTATCTGAGGTAATATAGGTCAGGACCAATCTAAGCAGGCAGCAGTGGACAGCAGTGGATAGGCCAAGGGCTGAGCAGGGTTATCAGCACCACAGAGAGGGCATCACTGGGATTGTCCCTGGAGACCTAGATTCTCACTGCCAGAGGTGAAGCAAGAGACAGACGAGGAGATGTGTGACTGCGATCAGCAACCACCTCAAACACAGCAATCTCTTGTCCAAGCCATCAGCCTGCTTTGCATGAGCTTCATGTTAGTGTCATACCCAGCACAAATTTGTTCTTCAGACCTAGATATTCCTCCCTGTGCTGCTGCATAGAAATTTTTCCAGGACTTATTTCCTTCCCAAAGTTTTAAAACCCTAGCAAACTGGTAATGTTTTCATTGTCTGTAATATTAGTAGAAGCAACATTAGCTATGTTAGCAGTATTAAGTAGCTCAAGTTAGTATCTCCTAATTCCAGAGCCCTCACAGTGAACATGGGAACAGGAAACATCTCAGTCCTGTGAGATTACTCCAGGTTTCAGAGTGCAGTATGTAGCCATTTCAGATCGCTGAAAGGGAAATGTTAATGCAACTTTGATGCTCCTCTGAAACTTGTTTTTGAAGGTCTTCCATTTCTTTTGCAAGAAAACTCAATAGGTTTATTTCTATGTAAACATCCATACTTTAACGGATGAGCTCTCCTGAGCTGCCTTTGACAACTGTCTCCAGAAACAGAACACTAAACTCTTGCAGTTACAAATCTAAGTGGAAGTCATTGTACAAGATCAACTTTTGTGATATTTTTACTGTGCAACTTTAACCTTGCAACACAAGTTGCACAGATAGAATTCATTTCAGCAGTATTGTTTTGGATGTTTATGAGAGCACATTTGATCCCACAGTAGATTATGATAGACACCAAAAAAGCTAAATCATGTTAGCTTAAGAAGGAGACAGTCTGTACCTTACAGTACAAATCACAAGGTCAGACTGAATTATCACTTGGATTCCAAAACTTCTCAAGCACATTTTTTCTAAAACAGCCTGCTACAGAAGACGACTTTTTTTTTCTCATGTGGAAGCCATGGTTTACATTTCTCAGTGCTTTCTTGTGAGATTCTACCTCTTGGAAAGACAGAACAGTCTTCTGAAGAAACTCTAAAGTGGGAGGGATGTCATTTTTAAAAAATATTTATAATGTAATACTATTAATTATATTTAATATTTTTACTAAATAATAACCTTTTAATAATTTTTAAATAAAATATCAAGTAAGATCATCTCTGGTCAGAGCAGTTTCTGATACATGTGAACAGAGAAATTGGTGATGAAAAATTACAAGATCTTTTTGAGAGTATGGATGCTTCTTACTTCTTTCAACTTCTTTTCACCTCTTTCACAAAACTTATTTTACACTGCTTTTTCTTAATTTGTGATCACTCCTACCTCCCCAAATGTGGTTTTCTTTTCTTTCTTTTGCTCTTCCTTTGAGTTTAATCCTTTTTTTCTCTGATACAAAAGCAGAGTGACAAAAAAACATTTACAAATGTACCTCTTTGCTTTTCTGACAGGGATTTAAGGAGAAATCCTCTGGACTACACTGACACTCAGTGTGAACATCCACCTCTTTTTTCTTTTTTTTCTTTCTGTTCTCTCCTGTGTAACCGTTCTCTGTTACATGTTCCACTGCCCATCTCTAATGTATTGATCTCATGGGAAAGATGCCACCTGAGAAAATACTCTGATTAATTTCTGCTCCTTGCTGAACTGTATTTTATCCAGGGAGCTGAAATTTCACCTTTTAGCAGAAAAGGTAAGTAACTTTATGCAAAGTTTCTCCAGTTCCTCCTGTAGCTTTACCACTACACAGCCAATCAGCTTTTAAGAAGGGTGGCATTAAAAGTAAGAATTAACAGTGGTTGAGATATTTCCAACATGATGATTTGTCATTCAAAGCTTCTGCTTGGTGAAAAAAAAATCTAACGTTTGGTGAACAAATACCAAAAGCTAGGCAGATTTCCACCAGAAACCTTCTCATCCTCACATCAGTTCACCTGATACCTATGATCACCCCACACTCTCAGAAACATGGCTGATCTCAGGACTGGGGACCCCACAGTTGATGGCTTACTCACAGACCATGTCTTGACCTTACACGCAGTCTGCAGGTAGTCTACGCCACTATTTTCTCAGTAGAAGTTGCAAATTTTTAGAAGTGGAACAATGACATGAAGAGATGTTTTATTTCTTAACTTGTGGGATTAGTAAACCATTTTCAGTGAAAATTATTTACCAAAAAAACAGGGCATCTCTAAATGCTTGCAGATAATGTATATGAATCAGGGCATCTATTTAAATGAAAAGCCCTTTCAAAGCATTTCTGTGCAACAAGGTCTGATTTTATTTATTTATTTGATAAGTCCAGACAGCACCTTATGCATCATTCTCCAGCACTCTGTGAACTAGAGGTTTAACTAACTCAGGCAGTGATGGGTCTATACTGCATCTCCTGGGAGGTAATTTCACAAACCACAAGACTTCACACAGGAAAAAAAGCATAAAATGCTCCCTCCAAGGCAACCTTTCACCCTAGCATATCGTCACAGCCTTACAGAATTCCCAAGAAGCTGAACTCATACCTTACTTAAGCAGGTGAAAATCTGATGGCAGAGGAGGTGCAATCAGCTCCACAACATTTATACCATTTTAGTTCTGAGATGCACTCCTCTAATTGATATGCACTGAAGATAATGTATGGGTTACAGCGAGGAAAGGACAATCCTGCTTAGACTTTTTGTTCAGTTTTGGAAAGGATGTTTTTAAAACCGGAAGAGAAAAACAGAACAAGCCTTAACATTTGTAGTTGTAAACTGAAACACTCAACAAACAGGCAAGAATGTTTAGTCCACAAGAAAGAAGAGATTAAGAAGGATCCTTTCCTGAAGGGGTGGATCTTTGATTCTTGCTTCCTAACCAGGAATACTACAGAGATACTTACAGATACGAGGATATTAATGAGGTGGAAAATGATGTGAGGAAAAATGAGAGGAATCTGAAAGGCAGCCATATAACACTGCCTATATATGTCCCCCATAAGTACTGAACATCTGCAGGAGACACATATGTAAACGGCTTAGAGCCCTGGAATAGTTCGCAAGTTCTCCGTCTCAGTGCAGTGTATAGAATGGATAAATAAATAGTGGGCATATGTGGTATATATTCAGATGGTGCATTAGACTTTAAAATCTCTGTCTAACTGAATGCATTAGCCTGTATTTTCTGTTTATGTCTCTGGGATGCCATGGAAACACAGCACTGAATCCTAATGGGTCTCTCCTGGCAATAAATAAACAGTCTTTGTCTATTTATGTTTCAATTTCCTTCTTTTTCTTTTTTTTTTTCATGTAATATACAATTTCAGAAGGAAAACAGTCCTATCACCATACATTCTCTTTGGTTGAAAAGCGTGCTGAAAATAAATGCAAAATGCACCTTCTAGTGGCCACTGCAGCCTTCTATACAGCTCCTACTACCATCTGTAAGTAGAGAATGTAACCTATTTGTGTTGAACTTCCTTCTAAGGAAAAAATATGGCTTATATAATTAAACCTTGAGTCGGGGTTCTCTTAGTAAATGGTAGCCCAAAGAGCACTTAATATACTTGTTAAAATTGAAAGCTGTTCTTTTCTTTACAAGTCTAAGAGGCTGCAGCCAGTCCCTTTTTATATAGACAGTAACAACGTTCACTGGCTTTAAACTGCTCCTCTAAAGCAATGGCGCACTTTCACTTCCTGTGTTCCAGAGCTTATTAGAGCAAACTGAAGCAATCATCCCCTTCAGGCTAAAGCACAGCAGCAAGGTGAAACTCTAAGGACCAAGTGATAGAAATACTGAGCATCACAAGGCATCAGTTTGCCATCTGGCACCTGCTATCCTTTTCTGAAATGAATAAAGTCATTGAGAGGGGATGTTGTGCGGTAACATGAGTAATAGAAAGACTAATAATTATCTATGTGGAGAAGTGGGCAGATTTAATTAGATTACTCAAATCTGAAGAGTCAGCTGAATCCAAAGGCAGTAACCTCAGCTGTGGAGGGCAGCCATATGGTTGCTCTCAAGATTTTGGGTCGGACTGAAATTCAACAGGACCTTTGTAAGTAATTTAGAAATGCATTGCAATGTGCTTGACTCCACATCTGTCAGGCAGTTCTTGGGCAGGACTGACAGCTGTACCAGGTATGCAGGTTTGGCGCAGTGCATGCTACAGTCCCTGTTGTAACAATCTGAGTAACAAGCTGGCTCCTGTGAGCCCTTCCAACTGCCCCAGCAGAGAGAGCAGGTCTTCACTGAAAGGGCTGCCAATCACTGAAACAGGCTGCCAAGATGAGTGGTTAAGTCCCCTTCCCTGGAGGTATTTAAGAGACATGTAGAGGTGGCACTTAGGAACACAGTTTAGCGATGGACTTGGCAGTGCTAGGTTAACAGGCAGATGATCCTAAAAGTCTTTTCCAACCTAAATGATTCAATGATTCTGTGATTCTATAATTCTAAGAGGGAAGCAGTAAGAAGGGTCAATGTACTAAATGCCCTTAGGGTGTCACTCAGGTATAAGGCTGTCCACTATAAAGGTGAAACTGGGACAATTTGTAGCAACCTTGAGTCTCCAAAATACACAACGGCTGATGATGAGCTGAGGCAGATCACCTGGGTGGTGCAACTGATGTTAGCATGAAAAAAATAGTGATAAATTACTGTGCAGGGGAAGAGGTGGTAAAGAAGTAGTCTTGAAAACTACAGGTGCAGCATGTGAATCTTGAAAACTTTCTCTCTTACCCTTCTCCCAAAGTGAGTATATGCAAGTAAAGTAAAATTCATGGTTTGCTTTCTGTTCCTGCATTTATTTTTTAATGCTTCTAGAGCAATGGAAACAGTTGTTTGTTCATACTCTGATTTTTACTTCTTTTTATTCTGACCAGCTGCCTACTATCTAATAAAGGAGCATCATGACAACTGAACAAGAAAATTAAGTAGTTAGGTGTATTTAACTCAGTCAGTTGCTCCAGCATTTTCAAGATCTTGATTGCACATCTTCTTTGGACGTGACATTATTCTAGAAGGTGTAGACTGTGAGGAATCTGTCATGCAGAGAATGATCATTTTCATCAATTGTCTTCCTCCTCCTTTGTCAGTTATAGCCCAGCTGCTTCCCCTGCTCCTGGTCAGCAAAGAGAGGAAGCAGATGCTTCCCCTGGGAAGTAACTTTCTATCTGAGGAATTGGCAGCAGTACAACAGCCCAGGACCAAAAAAGAAGCAGGGTGCAAGAGGATTTTGGACTTCACAGCTGGGCTTGAGTCAGAGACAAATGTCAAACACAGGGACTCAGTGAGCCACACAGCATGAACTACTCTTAGTCCAGACATCTACAAATTCCAGTTAACCACTAGCAGACAATCCAGCTAATAAGGACTTCCCACACCTTAGTCATCTGGGAGAGACATAAAACAACACAACACAAATAAGACAAATTAATACTAAATTTTACAGTGTAACTGGTTAAAATATGGTACCTGGCGATAGCCACTTTCTGCTATTTTGCCTCCCTGGTAAGATACAAATTTTACAGCAGTGACACATCCAAGTGGTAGGGTCAAGAGACCCTGCTGTTTAAGGCACTTCCTTTCAGCTAGCAGAGATCTGCCAAAAATTGCCAGTAAAATAGCAATTGTTCACAAATCACTCAAGTAAGTGTCAGAGGCTGCTTCCTTCAGCGCCTGTGTAGCATTAGATTATGTGAACCTCTATATGACACGGTAGTCTGTATTGTGCTTTTGCCAGATGTCTTTTACATGTGCAGCTCTTCACACTTTGTATAAGTGGTGAAGACCATTACAGAACAGCTAAAACAATTACAGAAGATTCCAGGTATTTTGGACTAGAGCCATCTGCGAATGTACAAAGAAGGCATGACCTAATCCCATCTTCTTTGGCAGAGGGAGTCAAATAGCAACTCCATCAGCTGAGGCCAACAGAGTCAAAAATATTCTTTTTCAGGGTTGGGGGGAGCAAGGGGGAGATGATGACAGAGAGGGAGAGATTGAGAGTTAGAGAGCTACACAAAGCTATTACAGTGCCTCAAACACTGTGGTAGGTTGACCCTGGCAAGACAGACCCTCAGCTGGAAGGGGGACAGAAAACCATAATGGAAAGCTCCTGGGTCAAGATAAAGATGGGAACAAATCAGTCACCAATTACCATCATAGGCAAAACAGACTTGACTTGGGGTAAAAATTAATTTACTACTAATCAAATCAGAGTAGGATAATGAGAAGTCAAACTAAAACTTAAAAATACCTTCCCCCTTCTTTTCGCTTCTTTCTGGGTTCATCTTCATCCCCACATTCTCCACCTTCTTCTTCCCAAGCAACGTAGGGTGATAGGGAATAGGGATGGTGGTCAGCTCACACACACATTGTCCCTGCCACTCATTCCTCCTCAGTGGAAGATTCCTCACACTCTTTCCCTGCTCCAGAATGGAGCCTCTTCCAAAGGAGGCAGTCCTCCATGAAATTCTCCGATGTAAGTCCTTCCCATGGTATGCAGCTCTTCACAAACTGCTCCAGTGTGAGTCCTTGCCACAGGGGGCAGTCCTTCAGGAACAGGCTGCTCCAGCACAGGTACCTTACAGGGTTTGAAGTCCTGTGGCAAACCTGCTGCAGCATGGGTTCCTCTCTCCACGGGGTCACAGGTCTTTCCAGGAGCCTGCTCCAGCAATCCACGGGGTCACAGCCTCCTTTGAATGCATGTGTCTGCTCCAATGTGGCATCCTTCATGGGCTGCAGGTGGATATCTGCTCCACTGTGGACCAGCATGGGCTGCTGAGGCAGGAAGACAGGCGTCCTCACCATGGTGTGCATCACGGGCTGCAGGAGAATCTCTGCTCTGGTGCCTGGAACACCTCCTGCCCTCCTTCTGTACAGACCCTAGTGTCTGCAGAGCTGTTTTTCTCACATATTCTCACTCCTCTCTTCTGATTTCTGCTGGTGGTGTGTATTTTGTCCCCCCCTTCTAAAGTATGTTATCCTGGGGGCACTAGCACTGCCTGCCCTGAAGTGCTCAGCCTTGCTGGTGCAGGTACCTCTCAGAGGGGGCTGGCATTGGCCCTATTGGACATGGGGGAAGCTTCTACAAGCTTCTCACAGAAGCCATCCCTGTAGTCCTTCTACCAAAACTTTGCCACAAAAACCCAATACAAGCACTTGTTATGCATTTGCATGTAGCTCTATTGTATTACAAAGAACATGACATTTTGCCTGCATTTGCCATCTACCCCTTTTCTATGAATATGTCCAGTCCAAGTTGTTTGATATTTTAAAGCAGTGGCTCCAAATTTAACTCAGATTGCATTAACATTTAATGTGCAGCATGACGAAACATGATCTCAGTGTTCTGATGACAAATGCTGCAGAAGGATAACATCGCCAACTTAACGTTTACTGGTAAATGACATTTGTAATCACTTGGTTTCTGGGTGCTTCCCAGCTCTTAGGGAAAGCTTGACTTTTGGTTTTAAAACGCGAACTGAATTCTGAATTTTCATAAGTGTTTGCTACCTACATAGTGAAACTTTGGGATGTTTAAAATGAAGAACTTCATCCCGGTTTTGTGACTTGCATATTATCTGAAGAGCTTACCATCTATGTATTTGACAGAATAAGTCTCTCATCTTCCTGCAGAGTCCTGTGGCTTCTAACTCAGTAACATGTGAAAGCAGACAAACCTCTTCTTTGCTATCAGCATAGATGAATGAACTTTATATCAGGTGCATGTGCCTCATTGTAATCCCTAGGGGATCTTACACTTCACTGAAATGATTCCTCTGATCATGCCCTTTTTCCATGCCCTCAGTGATGCTTATAAAGACCTGAACATGCCTTCCAAAAATTCTGTCAGGCAACATGTTCGTTTCATGCAAACACCAACTAACCACCTCATTCACACATTCAGATCTATCTTTTCCCTATGTACTTGCTTCTCTACCACTTCGAGTTCCAACAGTTTTCCTCTCCATGTCCCACCCAATCATACTCATAGCCCACAGACTAAGCAGCATATTTTTTATGTCAGGAAAAATGATTAATGTTGGATTTTTTTCTCTAGTGGGATATTTTTTTCTGATACTCTGTGTTTAATGCCTCTGACATACAGGGACAAATCTGTCACACAAGATCATCAGGAGCTTCTGAAGCTATATGTAGTGCTTGCCAGAACTTTCTGGTGCTGATGACTCATATCTGTGAAACGGAGATGCAACAAGGGCCAAAGATAGGACATTTATTCCTCCGCCTAATTTAGTTAGCCATCAACTGTAGTTGCTG